TCTTAAAACTGAATGCTTACGTCTCTGTCTGGTTTATTTCTTTTTAAGGGGTAATTTAATGTCCACTCTGACAAGGGGTCTGAGATGAACTGAAGACAGAGACTACAGCTGTCCTCCTCCACACCTGAGTGTTATTCTAAGTTATAAGGTGGAAAACAGGTAACAGGTTGCAGCTGTAACAACTCTAATTTCTCTTTGAGATCAATAAAGTATTTCTGATTCTGAGAAAAAAAATTTTAAAAACAGAGTTTCTGATTTGTGTTTATTGAACAAATGAAATGTGTATCATCAATACCACAACTTAAATCATACAGCAAATAAACAGTTAAATTCCAAATCAAGTTCTAACTAAAAAAAAATCACCTCGAATTTACTTAATGAAAAAAAAAATTAACACTGAAACGCATACTGTCCACAATTCTCAGACCAGAGTTTTAAAGTCRGATTAAATCTGTTTCAGCTGTTTATCAAACCACAACAATTATTAACTTTTGCAATATGTTGCTTTTAAACTGTGTTCAGAAATATGCTCAACTACAACCACACCAAGTTAGTTAATAGTTGGGAAGCAGTGGAGCCTGGACAGTTGGAACAGGCAGAGGGTTCACAGGCATCATCACAGCAGCAGGCTGCATGCTGACAACATTCTGAGACAACGTGTTTATGATGACCGGGTTTTGCTTGCGACTTTTTAACTCCCGGTGCATCTGACACCAGGAGCAAGTCGCACAGCAACAGGAGATAGCAATGTCCTCCAAAATGGAGCCCTGCAAATGAACACAATGAATATATTTACTATTTTTTTTTTCAGTTCATACAGTTTTGGGGCTTACAAAATTTTCATTGTAAATATTGTTTAATACTAAGAATTAAAGCAGAGTCACAGTGAGAGAAACATTCAAACATGCTGACACTGATCAGGATCAGTGATTCATGACGTCATACCTTGATGCCGTACTTATTTCTCATGGCGACTCTTACAGTCAAGGCTGCAGGAGGAACAAATATGGGGCTTCCGAAGTAGAGCATATTGCTACATATATCAATTAATGGCAGCCATCTGTTTTCTCCAAATCGTCCTGTAACTGTACAGGCCAAGCAGGGTCCACACCAACACCCATAGCAACCTGTAAAACACAGGATGTGCAAATATAGTGATGAAAKGATTTGTATCAAATTAAAAGAGGAACAAATCGTATCAAGTTTTGCTCTTACAGGTTTGTGGATCCTCAAAGCAATCAAATACATTACTATCCCACTCTTTCAATGGTTTTTCTTCCATCACTCAGTGAAGTTCAGCCACAAATAGTGAAAAGTGACCCTGTGAGATCAGAATGGATAAGGGGGGGGGG